GGAAGAAATGTACCCTTATTTCTTCAAACCTTCCTATTTTTACATGGTTGTATTTTTTTCCCTGTAATGCCACAGTGATTTGCTTGGCTAAAACAATAATTTTCCCAGCAAAGGAAAATTGTGGGTTGAATTGGAATTGCAAGAGGCGCTTGGTTAATCCACAGATTATTGACACGGTGGACCCTCCATGCTTCAAAGCCACCATTATAGTCCATCATGTCCCTGCGTACTTAGGGAGCTTTAATCCATGGATTACAAGTCCCTAAGAGCCCCTGCCCTCCCAGTTACAGCTGCTCCTGCCAATGGGAGCTGCCATGTCAAGCACTACACAAAAAATTGGTCTTTAAAATCCACGGAGACAGTGATACACCCTTGCATCCCCCTCAGGGCTGCATTCCTTGTCCCAAATCTGTGGAGAGGTCCCACAGCCCTGCCTGGCCCATGCTCTTCCCCAGGCACCAGGCAGAACCAGACAACACGTTTTAGAAAGCGATGCTTTAAAAAAAAAAAAGGAACCACAAAAAAGCCCAAATTAAAAGCATACCAAATGTTTTCCACATCCTTTAGGGAATAGTCAGCATTAAACAGCAGGCCTTCACTTTTCCCCTCTGTTCTCCCCCTAAACAAACAAACTGAGCAGCTCCCAGTAAATGCTTAAACTGCAAAGGCATTATTTTTCCTTGTTTGCACATTAAAAATAACTTGCATTACAATCCAAATTTATAAGTGCTTCTGAACTCCTCTGTTGCTCAGGTGATAACCGTGTGTGCTGAGGTGCATTTATTTGTGGCATATATCTCTGGAAATGGAGTGTATAATGGAAAAACTCGTGACCTCTTTACTTGCTGGATTCCTATAATAAGTCAAAGAAGTCACACAGTGCCCTTTTATTTCCAAAGCTGGACTTAAATCATGTCAATAAATCTGCAGACTTATTATGAGATGCAGCACGGGTAATGTAAACAGAAAAAAACCCCACCCCCAGCACACCAGAGTTTAAAAATAGGATGTAAGGAGGAGAAAAAGTTAACTATCCATATAATAAAAAGAGAAGAAATGCAACACAAGAACGCTGTGTCAGGCAGTGCCTTGAAATTATCCTCACTAAATTACAGTCGTGCTCTGCCCACTCTCTGTAATTAAATGAGGGTTTGGTTATTCCAGACGCATTTGCTCCAGGTAAACCCAGGTCTTTTTTGTTTTGGTACTGCAAGTCCTTCACAGGTGTGGGTGACCTGCAGACAGTTGAGGAGCAAAGCAAATTGTTTCCATAGATCAAGGAAGGTGAGTGTGAACAGGTACCAGTGTTGCATGTGGTGAATCCAGTACTTTGCTCCCTTTCTCCACAGCTTAGGTGTGTTTGGGGAGACTGAGCCTTCCTGTGAGTGTCTGTGTGAAATAAATGCACAGTGAAGCCCAAAGAGGAGGACACAACTGTTTGTATCCCCAACAGCCAAACAAAACGGATTCTTGGCTTGCAGGGTGGGATTTCTATGGTGGGATAGGCAGGAAGCCTCTGATCCCTTACAGAGCATACCCCACACAGCCGTGTTTCAGTGCTGGGAAAAAGAGTCAGTAAGAAAATACCATAGGCTTGAGCAGGGAAATCAAGAATGGGGTGATTTCATTTGTCCCCAAGGCCACCTGTTTCTGGCTTGGGTTGAGGATGTGCCCACCCTGCTGAGCCTGTGTGAAAACCCCATGAGGTGCTGCCACAGCTCAAGCTAATTTGTCCTTCGACTCAGAACCTGAGCCAGCTGTAAATCCCATTATCCTCTCCATTTCTGGTTCTAATTGCAGTTTACCTGGACATTTGCAGATGGAGTTTTTGTTACCCGGAGGTCTTAAAGGCAGGACAGAAGGCTATATAGGGCTTTTGTAGGTGAGATTTTGGAAATGTTGGGTAAGGAGATTATTAAAACGATAGCAATTAATTGTAATTGTCATAAAACCCACAACCTGACTTAATGATTATTTTCATGTACGTGCTTATAATTCAAGTTTATAAAATGCCACTTATAAAACAGTTATTTCTACTTTGCGAAAGAAGAAAAAGCCTCAAGCTTCTGGCAAGGTGGTGAATTTTGAAGTGTTTAAAATCATGTATCTCTCTTTCCAATGTACAGCATGTATTTTTCATCTGTTGATCTTTTCAGGTAAATACAGCTGGGTTCATTAAGCAAATGTCTCTTGAGGTGTGGCTCTTGCTACTGCAGTGTTTGTGTAGCCTGGGAGCTGCTCACCTGGGAATGGCACTGCCACATTCCAGGTTCAAATCCAAGGAAACCCTGGCCACCTGCCCTGGCATCCCTCAGCCTGCTCAGGTTCAGTGTCCTGGTGCCTGGCAGGCAAAACTGAGTGGCCTTGTCCCCTGGGAGCATCCCTGCCTGGGAGGAGATGGGACACTCTGGGTGCTCCATGCTCAGTCTGACTCCCCAGGTCAGTCAGTCAGCAGGAATTTTCCCTCTGGGTTTAAGGCTCAGTTGAGACAGAATTTGGGGAAGAAGTGAAAGGTAAAGACGGGCCATTAGAGGGCACTTTTGCAATCCTGGAGAAGGGAAACGGTGCTTATTATTTCACTTAGGACTGTTTATTTTGGCACTCTCTTAAATTCAGTGATAAACAGCAGGAAAATCCCTCCAGTCAGCAGGAATATATCAATAAAATATTGACTCAGAGTTTAAAAGAAAAGAAAACAAGACAAACTTGTAGAAAATGGAATACAAGACATTTAAGGAGGCAGCACAGCCTAGAGAACAAAAAAAAAATCACACAATGTATTTTATGTAATTTGTGTGGCTTAGCAGCACAGTGCTTAGGCCACAGCTTGTACCTGGCTTCTAAAAACAAATCCAAGACAAGAAAATTGGGTTTTGGGAGTTTCTGAAGGCTGGGTGGCAGAGGACGAATTCACAGGCTCACATCTAGCAAGTGCATTTTCTGAGGGACTCTGTCAAAGTCACTGGTGAGCTTGCCCAGAAACAAACATGGGATGAATAAATGGGCTTTTTGCTTTGCTCTTGATGTTTTGCATGAGTAAACTACAGAGGGTTTAGTTTGAAACCCTGCCAAATTATAATGAGTGCGCTGCAAAAACTAAAATCTTTTTATTAACTGGTGTGAAAGAGTAGTGTTAACACTGACAGCACAGCTTCCAAAAACTGTGAGCGAGGTTTGGATGCCTCTCTGCTGTTGTCCCACTTTTGGAAGTGTCATGCATGAAAATTGGGCCCATTTTAAGCCTCTGAGGTTAGATAGATGAAAATGAAAGCACCCAAAATTCTAATAATTTGTCTAAGAACAGAGATTATAAAAGTTTCCTTTTTCAGTAACAGTTGACAACTCTGCAAGTTATTTCATGTGTGGGATGGGTAGGGATATAGAACTAAATTTAATGTGTCTTTTTGGAGTTATTTTTATGCTGAAATGCTTTTACAATTAGATAAAGAAATTTGAGACTAATCTGTACCTTGTCACTGCTCTGTAGCTGTTAAGGGGGGCAGAAACACTGTTTATGGGAGTTTTTAACATGCATTAGCTAGTGAAATTATTTAAAAAGTGAAGCTTAGCCTATAATCAAAATGGTTTATTTTAGTAGAGGTTACATTGTGCTGGAACTGACTATGGGAATACACAGGATTGCAGTTTCAGGGGGTTCATGTGGAGGACGCTGTCTGCAGAAAGCGTCAGAGTTTCTTACCTAACCAAATAATCTGCTGTAACTGTTGTGATTAAGTTGGAAGGAATTTCATCCCTGTTGGCCAACAATGATACTTGAAAAATCAATAAACAGCATGTTAAAGCACACGAAACTCATCGTGCTTTGTGTGAGAGGGGCTTTCTGCCGGCTTCGGTGACTCAAACCAGCAAATATTTTGACTTATGATCTTTGCTCCAAAAGGCCAAATGTCTTTAACTTCACTGGTAAGTATCAACACTTCAGTCTGAATTGGAGGAACTATATCCACTGTCATCAAAAACTAACTCAGGACCCATTTGGGATAAATTTTGACGAAAGCTGGGAAAGCTAAATCAGGATTTACCTCTAGGTAGCAATTACATGTGTTGGGTAAAGCCCTGGACTCCTTTCCCTTCTGTAGAGCAGAGCACTGTAGTAAGCTGTCATTAAACCATCCCAAATGATAACAGAGCACACCATTTGAGACCTAAAATTGCATCCTGTGAGGGTGCACATCACTCCTGGCTCATGGATACTGCTGAGTCTGCCATGTGTTTTCCCTCTCCCATCACCAGTTTCAATGGGAAAAATAGAAAGATGAAGGAACTGAGCTGGACAGCAGGAGTTGGAGAAAACAGTAGAAAGGGGGGAGGGAACGAGCTGATTTCTGGGGAGAGCAGAGAGGAGGGGTGAGTGGGGGGGACCTGCATGTTGGTGGAAGGAACGATTAAATAAAAATGTCGGAGGCAGAGGAAGCAAAATGAGGGTGAAAATAGCTCTCCATAGCCTTGCTGATGTCAGAAGCCCTGCTGGGCAGCATGTGGGTGGCTGTGTTTAGCTGTCCTGAGAGCAGAACAGGCAGAAGGGGAGCTGGAGGCAGCAGGGAGAGGGATTTAGGAAAAGCAGTTTTAGTATGCCTTGGACTACAATGTGCCACTTCTCAAGGAGCTTTATGTTTGCTACTTTTACATAAAATATTAGGGGTAGTGGGAAAAAGAACTATCTCAGCAACAGATTTGATCTTAAAGGTAAAAGGAAGAGTTTGCTATAAAGTAGTAGCTGCTTCACAGTGCAGTACCCAGAGCAGTGCATGACTGCACACTCAGCCAAGAGACAAGATAAAACTGTTCCTGCCAGCTCAGCTTTTTACCATGTTTCTCCCCAAATCAGTGCTAACACAGTTTAGATAATGGCCTAAACTTTTTTTTTTTCCATTCTCCGAATTAAAAATGGTTATCATTTAATAATTTAAACTTGATATACTTGTACCAGAAATGGGCTGTTTCCCCTTTCCCCCCCACCCCATCCCAGAGCCATTAAAGATGAGATCATCTACTGTACTGAAAGGAGATTTCCAGCCTGTCCCACTGTATATGTTAGGGTAGTCATTTCTGACCTAGTTACAGACATAATAATGAAAGGCTGAGATTATGAATTATTATGCCTAATTTGTAAAGGATTCTCTGCTTTTGTGTTTTGCAATTCCCATCAGGCTTGAGGATTAAGCCCTGCTGAATTGCATGCTAATACCAAAGTGCTTTGAATATGTGTGGGTTTGTATCACATGTTTTCCTAATTCACTATTTTTGTCAAGAACAGTTTCACTGGAAATATTTACTTTCCAGAGGATTGTTGGACACTCAACCAAGGTCTCCTAGGGGAAGCAAAGCCGCTGTACCCTCCATCTGCTCTGTGCTTACTGTAGCTCCCAAGGCCAGTGAGCTCCATTTCTGCTGTGGCAAAACACCAAAGTGTAACTCACCAAAGCATGTGGAAGGCTTTTGCTCTTTGGTAGCAATTTCAATTTGAAGCCTGGGCTTGGTTCATTCAGTCGCAGCTCAGGATGGGAAAATCTTGGTGACATCCTTGATCCAAGCCCTGTGACAGCGTGAGCTCAGTCCTTACATCGAGTTCTCCTGCCATTTGTGTGGCAGTGAAGGTGCCTGCAAAACACAAAGTGCATGTCAGGTTGTTGTAGGTGTGCCCACGTTCCAGCACAGACGAGCTGCACGTGGTGCCCCCACTGAGGTGGGACTCCCTGTCATTGCTGCAGGATGCTCCTGCTGCACTGCCCGCTGCTGCTCCTGCTGCTGCTGCTGCTGCTGCCGCTCGACTCCAGGCCCCAGAAGTTGCCCACCAGGGATGAGGAGCTCTTCCAGATGCAGATCCGGGACAAGGCGTTCTTCCACGACTCGTCAGTCATCCCTGATGGAGCTGAAATCAGCAGCTACCTCTTCCGAGACACTCCCAAAAGGTATTTCTGTCTGGCCCAAGTGAGGAAGCCGAACTTTGAAGACAGTAGCTCTGGTTGCTGGGTGCTTTGAGATAAAAATTGGATCCCAACCAGAAAAACACAAATGCCAGTGTTCTGTTTGGTGAAGTAAACATATGAGCCTCCAGCCCAATCTGGCCTCCCCAACTGAGGGTCTGTCCAATTTATTTGATTTCTGGGATAAGCCCAGAGGTCCCCCAGACTGCAGAATTTCCCTGAAGTAGGGCCACAGACCATGTCTAGAGGCAATGGGAGAGGGAAGGAAATTAGAAATTACAGGCTTGACCCACCACTCTTTTCCCTCTTTATTGTTCCCTACTGTGCTTTAAAGAAGCAGCATTAGGCAGCCTGGTCTGAACTCCCCACTTCCCAAACTCCACCTTATGGGTCAGAAAATACTGAGGGTTAGACTGGGGAAGAACCTGAGGATCCCAGAGAGTTTAGGGAAGAGCTGCATTGCCTCATATCACATGCTTCCTCCAGCCTTCATTAGCGAGGAACATTTTACAATAAGTGACGTGTGGTGCCTGGAGGGATGTGGGAGGGCAGCTGGGTGTGTGTGTATCTCTATGTGCTCACCTGGATACAATATAAAATGTATGTCCTGCTTGGAAGAGCCTATCCCTAAGTTCCAGGAGAGATCCTGTTTCCCTCATTTATATCTCTGTGATTATTTGTATCTAGGTAGTATAGGGGTAGAAAGTAAAGCTGCTGGAGAGGAGGGCAGGTGGCCAGAAAGCCCTTAGCTCTGCTGTGATACAGAAGTGTGAGCCCTGCTCCTTAGATCTGGCCCACCAGCCTTTCCACACTCCCTCTGCCTGTTGGTAACACTTTGGCTCTGTAGCCCCACCAAGACCATCCCTGATCATGTCAAGTCAATCCCTGCCAGCTGGCTGCCATCAGGAGTTTCTGACATGTGGGCCTGTTAACTTCCCTCTAGGTACTTCTTCGTGGTTGAAGAGGACAACACTCCCTTAGCAGTGACGGTGACACCGTGTGATGCCCCTCTGGAGTGGAAACTGAGTGTGCAGGAACTCCCAGAGGAAGCCAGTGGGGAAGGATCAGGTAACAAAGAATCAGTGACTTCCCCTGTCCCCTTCCCTGCTTTTCTCCAGGATTTAAGGTTCTTCAAACACTGAGTCTCACAGCAGGCCTGTCTTTATGATCTGCTGTTTCGATCTTCCAGTGCAGGAGATTGACAACAGACAGCAACATGAAAAGGAAAAAGGCAACAAAGAAGTAAAATCTAAGGTTACAGTCACAGGGGTCTGGATGCTGCCAGAGAAAACCTTTTGCCCAGAGTGACTCCGTTTGATGGGGGCTTTGCTGTGGGGTGTTTACACAAGATAAGAACTGGGGAGACAGGGCTGGCATTGCAGCAGGACTGAGCTCATCCCGTGGAGGGGCTCATCTCCAGACACAGAGCAGTGTAGCTGCCACTCAGGAGAGAAAAGGGCTGCCAGAGCCTCTGACACGTGCTGAACTGTCACACACACCACATGGTATGGCAGACATACCTCTGGTCCCCACTGTGTTTAGCAACAAAATTTTAGTGTGTCTCAGATGGCCAAAGCCAAGGGTCCACATCCAGGAACAGGCAGGTGAGTGAGTGTCCCTGGGGAAAACTGCATGGAAACTCCAAGTGGGATGCCTGACACTCCAGGGCAAGGTGTTAGCTACCATTCATGAGATTCCATTGTCAGGGGGAATTTCTTTTATGGTTGGGTTTAACCTGAGCAGCAAACCATTTTTCCTCTCTGTTTTGACAGAAATGTTGATCAATTACATCTTCCTCAGAAGACAAAACCTTCCTTTTCCATCTCCCGTGTTTGTATTTTATGTCGTAAAATGTGCCTGTTAGAGCTTTGTTTTTTCATATTTACAGAGAGTGTCTGTACAAATGTTTTTTTCTGTATGTATTCCAGGTGATCCAGAGCCCCTTGAGCAACAGAAACAGCAGATTACCAGTGAGGAAGGCACAGAGCTCTTCTCCTACAAAGGCAATGACGTGGAGTACTTCGTGTCCTCTAGTTCCCCCTCTGGGCTGTACCAGCTGGATCTGCTGTCAACAGAGAAAGACACCCATTTTAAAGTGTATGCAACCACGACTCCAGAGTCAGACCAGCCTTATCCTGAGTTACCTTATGATCCCAGAATCGATGTCACCTCTCTGGGACGTACGACGGTGACACTGGCATGGAAGCCGAGCCCCACAGCCTCCTTACTGAGACAGCCCATCCAGTACTGCATAGTCATCAACAAAGAGCACAACTTCAAAAGCCTCTGTGCTGTCGAAGCCAAGCTCAGCTCTGATGATGCCTTCATGATGGCTCCAAAGCCGGGTCTGGATTTCAGTCCCTTTGACTTTGCCCATTTTGGCTTTCCTGCAGACAACAACTCTGGCAAAGAACGTGGTTTCCTAAAATCATCCAAGTTTGGGCGGCAAACGTCCCCAAAGCCGAGAGTTGACCTGCACAGAGTTTGTATTGGGAACAAGAACATCTTCACCGTGTCTGACCTGAAGCCAGACACGCAGTACTACTTTGACATGTTTGCAGTGAACACCAACACCAACATGAGCACCGCCTATGTCGGCACCTTTGCCAGGACCAAGGAGGAGGCGAAGCAGAAAACAGTCGACCTGAAGGACGGCAAAGTTACAGATGTGTTTATCAAAAGAAAGGGAGTCAAATTTCTACGTTTTGCCCCTGTTTCATCTCACCAAAAAGTCACCTTTTCCATTCATTCCTGCCTGGATGCTGTTCAGGTCCAAGTTAGGAGGGATGGAAAACTCCTCTTGTCTCAAAGCGTGGAGGGCGTGCGGCAGTTCCAGCTCCGGGGGAAAGCAAAAGCGAAATACCTTGTTAGGCTGAAGGGCAGCAAGAAAGGTGCTTCCATGCTGAAGATCCTGGCTACAACCAGGCCTAACAAGCAGTCGTTCCCTTCTCTTCCCGAAGACATGCGGATCAAAGCCTTTGACAAGCTCCGCACGTGTTCCTCAGTCACCGTGGCGTGGCTGGGCACGCAGGAGAGGAACAAATTCTGCATCTACAAGAGGGAAGTGGATGACAATTACAACGAAGAGCAGAAGAAAAGAGAGCAGAACCAGTGCTTGGGTCCAGACACGAGGAAGAAGTCGGAAAAGGTTCTGTGTAAATACTTCCACAGCCAGAACATCCAGAAAGCAGTGACCACAGAGACAATCAGAGGCCTGCAGCCTGGCAAGTCCTACCTGCTGGATGTTTACGTGATAGGGCACGGCGGGCACTCGGTGAAATACCAGAGCAAACTGGTGAAAACAAGGAAGTTCTGTTAGTGCCCCTGGACAGAGGAACACAGGGAACTCCAGACTGAGCATTATCCTGCTTCTGAGTATAGGGATTGACTACTTGCACAGCGGAGAAATTGTGACCTGTATTTGTACTGTGTAGAAAAGATATCAACTTGTATATTTGTTTACATAAGTAGTTGTCTGGAGGAACTGAGCCTGGTGCTGTCTGGTAGCACCTGGCAGCGGTGTTATCATGTGTCCAGTGACCCACATGTGATGCTCAGTAGATGTCCAAGGTAGCAGAAAACCTCGGAGGAACTGGCACGCCTTTGTTTTCATATTGCATGAACTGCTTCTAAATTATTTTATACTTTAAGAGGCTGAGATATGTCATTTGTTCACCTTGTTACTCACACACACAGCTCACAGACATATGCCCTTTCTCTCAGTGTAGATGGTAGGGTTTCTGTAAATTATTTTATAGAGTCTTGTTTTAAATGTTTTTGTTTTTATGATTGTAAACTATTAAAATCTCCCCCCAATTAAATACAGATTTAAACTAAGTATTAACTGGGCTGCACATGAAGCAGTTTCATTGCTAATGTAAATTCTTACCTAGCTGATTTTCATGTTTAAATACTGTATGTATTTCATGTACAAAGTTGCCATAACGTTATATTCCTGTACATAAAATTAAAAAATATTAGATTATATATTATTGACTTTTTGTTGGCTTTTTTTTTGACATTCTAAGTGGGCAGACAGATGTGGGGACAGAAGAGACATGCTGAAACTTGAACTGAATTCAGTTTTCCTGTTCTATCGTGGCTTGGAGTCTGAGTTAGAGAGGCCATGCAAATCTTTTGTATGGTCATTTGTTATTTTTTTGCTAGATTGTCGTTGGAAGCATTTGCTTTCTGGATGCTGCTGGGTTTGACCACAGTAGTAATAAGCTGAAAAGATTGTATTTTTTCCATTGACAAGAATGGCAGTACTACCAAAACCCCAGGTACTTTCATTTCATTTGCAATTATTTCCACGGTGTAGATTTCTTTAAGATATTATATTTCTAGATACCATGTTTTCTAAATTGTCTTCTTTGTTTTTCCATGTCATCTCCATTGACTCAAAAGCCTGCAGAGAGCTGCTTAATAGAAAACACTCCCCAGAGAAGCAGCTTGGCCAGCCCCATTTCAAGCAGTGAAGGTAGGAGGGAAAGGGACCAAAATTCATATAAAGACTGAAAGCAGGTTCCTTTTAGGCTGCTGACAGGGAAAGCCAGACCTGTCCATTCCTGTGGAGATGAGCTCCAGTTTTCCTTGGCCCCGCAGTGTTGAGCTCCTGATGTTTTCCTTTCTGCTGCCCCCAGCACTGGTGGGTGACAGGAGGATTTTGTGGCT